CAAGTGTTCTGGGATTCCCATTCTTCTCAGAGTCACTCACATATATAACAACATACTGACACATATCACAACATACCCACATATACAACAACATATCCACATGTAACAGCATACTCACATATATAACAACATACTCACCTATATAACAACATACTCAAATATATAACAACATACCTTCATATATTACAACATATCCACATGTAACAGCATACTCACATATATAACAACATACCCAGATATATAACAAAATATCCAGTTAAAACAACATACTCACATATATAACAATATACTCACATATGTAACTACATATCCACATATAACAACATACTCACATATGTATAAACATACTCACATATATAAGAATATATCAAAATGTAAAAACATACTCACAAATATAACAACATACTCACATATATAACCATGTACCCACATATACAACAACATATCCACATATAACAGCATACTCACATATATAACAACAAACTCACATATATAACAACTTACTCACACATATCTCAGCATACCCACATATACAACAACATATCCATATGTAACAGCATATTCATATATATAACAACATACTCACATATATAACAACATACCCACACATATAACAACATACTCACATATGTAAGAACATATCCGCATGTAAAAACATACTCTCATATATAACAACATACTCACATATATAACCCTGCTCTCAGTGGCTGTGATGGCCGTCCACCTGCGAGGAGGGCTGCATCCTTGGGCCGACCCGCCGCCACCTGCCGCCTGGTCCCCTGCGCTTGCCAGGGCTGGGCGTTCGGCCGCCCGTTTGTGTTGTCGCTCATTCTCGAACCAGATGTGGATCTGTAACTCCGGGGCCCCTGTCTTCTCGGCCAGCTGCTCTCGGCTCGCTATGCCCGGATAAGGGCTCTCTGCGAACGCCGCCCTCAGGACTGCCAGTTGGTTCTGTGTCCAGACCCTCTTCTTTCGCTGTCCTTGACCTCGCTGCCGGGAGCCGCTGGAAAGGCGTCTGTCTTCCATGGTGGCCAGCCTCGCTCTGGAGCCAAGCCAGTCTCCTTGGAGCTAGGCCTACACCTGCAGCAGCCCCGCCCACACTCGCAGTGGGGCACCTCAGCCACCTGCTTCCACAGTGAGGCTAGGCAGGTGCCTCAGGAAAGGTTAAGGAGGGGGGGGGGGGGTGGTGGTGGTGGTGGTGGTGGTTATGTGTGTGCATGTGTGTGTGTGTGGGGGTGTGTAGGGAGGGAAGGGTGACTCTCTTATCTATCAAAGGCCACCACCACCACATCCACCACCATCCCAGCTCTGCTGCACTCTGCCAATCACCGCCTCCCTCCTCTCCCCGAGCAAAGACCTGTGGGTGGAGGCCAGGTGGGGATGTGGCTTGTGGGTGGTGGGGAGGTGGCGGGCGGGCACGGGGCCCAGGGAAGAGGCAACGCGGCGGCCCCTGCCCCGCCACCGCCAAACCCATGGAGTTCAAGCTCCAGTCCACTGTGCAGTCACAGCGAGAGAGCATGAGGGAGGAAGGAGGGCACGGAAGGAAGGGAATGAGAGGGCCGGGCTCGATGGCGCCGGCTGCCCAACTGCCCGCAGTGCGGCTGCCCACCGGCGAGAACTGAAGGCCTCTCGCCCTGGCGGGCCGTAGATGGCACTGGGGTC